TAATAATAATAATAATAATAATAATAATAATAATAATAATAATAATAATAATAATAATAATAATAATAATAATATTAGTATTATTATTATTATTATTATTAATATTTATTTCTTTATTTTTATAGCTTTATTTAAATTATTTAAATAATAAATATTTTTTATAAGTTAAACTTTTTAATATTAGTAAATATTTTATTAATAATATTTTTAAAATACAGATTTATTCTAATAAATTAATATTTTTATATAAATTAATTTAGTTTTTAAGTTTATAATAATTAATTATATCTTATATTTTTAATATAATATAAATAATCTTTATTATATTATTTATTTATATTTAATATAAATTATTATATTATAATTATATTATAATTTTTATAATAATAATAATAATAATAATAATAATAATAATAATAATAATAATAATAATGATAATAATGATAATAATAATAATAAAATTTAATATAATAATAAAATTAATAATAATTATAATAATAATTTAATTAATAATATATAATACTAATCAAAAGTAATAGTTCAGAAACTAAATTTATTAATAAAATATAGTGAAAATTGAAATTTTCTCTATATTAAAATTTATAATTTTATTAAGAAATAATTTTTATTTTTATATTAAAATAAAGTTTATTAGTTATAGTTTATTTAATATATATTTTTTTCAGCTTTTTTAGATTTTTTCTGAAAGAATTGCTTTAATTATAAAGTTAATATAAAAATTTTTACTAATTAAAAATGAAATTTAATTAATAAAAAATTTTATACTAACTTTACAATTAGAGTAACTCTTTCAGAAAAAATCTAAAAAGCTGAAAAAAATATATATTAAATTATAACTGATAAATTTTATTTTAATATAAAAATAAAAATTATTTCTTTAATAAAATTATAAATTTTAATATAAAGAGAAAATTTTAATTTTCATTATATTTTATTAATAAATTTAGTCTCTGAGTCATTATTTTTAATTATCACTATAGTTAGATCTTTTTATAAGAGAATTAATTTTGTATAAATTATAATAAATATAAGTTTTTATATATTTTATATTTATTTTTAATAGTTTATTATTAATTTTTAATTTTTAAATTAAGAGAAAATTTGATTATTAATATTTATAATTTATAATAAATTATAAAAATATAGTTATTTTTGTAATTATTTATAAAAATTATTATAATCTGTAAAAAATATAAGAATTTCAGATAAATTTTTTATAAAAATAATAATTTAATTTAAAATTTATTTAAAATTTATTTTTTTAATAAGCTTTATAATAAATAGTTATAAATTTGAAAGATATTTTATATATTTTAAATTATTTTTTATTTATTTTTAAGAAATTTATTAATATTATTAAATTCTTTTTTTAATATTAAAATTCAAATAAAATTTTTTAAATACTAAAATATAAATATAAAAATTTTTTTAAATTATAAAAGATATCTAAATTTCTTATAATTTATTATAATTTTGAATTAGCTTTTAAAATTTAATTTGAATTAAATTCAAGTCAAATTTAAATTTAGTTTGAAATCAAACTTGAATTGAATTCAAGTCTTAAAGTTCAAAATTTAAATTAAACTTGAACTCAAATTGAACTTTTTTCAAGTTTGAGTTTGGTTTCAAATCAAATTTAAACTAAAATAATGTAATAAAGTTGTAAAATTCAATAAATTTATAAGATATTCCATAATAAAAAATTGTTATTTATATATGAAAATATAAAGTATTTTTGATAAACTTTTTAAATTCATAATTTTTAAAATATTATTGAAAATGCTCTATATTTTCATTCTTTTTATAAATATCTTATACAGTTTTGTAGCTTTAGTTGATCTTTACAACTTAGTAATATTTAAATATGTGAAAATCAATGATTTTTTTAAAATAAAAGATTATTTTAAGTTACAATTTTTTTATTTTTAATAAAATCATTCAATTTTACGTATGAAATCTATTAAATATTACTAAGGAAAGCTGTAGAGCTAAACTAAAGTAAAAAAATAGAAAATTGAGAACATTCCTAAGGATGATATTTATTTTAGTCCTACATTATTATCATTAAGTTGGATGAGGCTGCGTTGCAGACTATTTTTCTAACTTTATTTTTACTCTAGGATTTTAAGGAATTTAATGGCGGCCAGCAATTTCGTCCACGAATAAATCTTCAACATCGTAGATACCGCTACTAATGAAAGCAACAAATTGTTAAATTACTCTGAGAAAGATTTGGAAGTCGCAGAATATCATATATTTAGTATATAAAATATGCATAATAATTTAGTAAAAATTGAAGCATTTATTTGATGAGATAAACAATTACATGTATTAAATTATTTATAACATCGTTTACAAAAAATTCGTTATTGGCCCAATCACCATAAAAATTCAATACGAAGGTCTTACACTAACGTTCCAAATTTCAGACGCCGATACCGGCGATGATTTATGCAATACCAATCGATAAGATTTCGGGATCGAACGACATTATTTTTTGATCCTGAAATTTATATGCCTAAGGTCAACAGCTTAATAATAATGATTTGGCGACGGAAATTGTACGATTCATGCAATTTGCGATTGCGTATATTTTAATACGATTACAGCGAAAAACAGTACATGTAGATTTTTGAGACTGTTAATTGCATCATTATTTTTGCTCTACGGGCTAGCCCCTGGCTCATACTATTTTAACTGTTGATCTTATTTATTAATTTTAATTTTTTTTAAGTCCTAAATCTATTAAAGAAAAGTCTCTATTTCGCCTTTTAATTTAGCCCGAATCACTAGATTCTGCGTCATTGGATGAAACATCTTTTGCGGTCTTTATCAAACATTATGGAGATTTTACTGGTTCAAAAAACTTTTCTTATATTTATATTAAGAACTTATTAGCATTCTTATAGCAAAAGAGGTTGATTTTGAATTATCTTTTTATATCGGAAGTTTCTAATATCAAGTCACTTGTATTTAAGAAAATCCCCTTCTAATTATTTAATCATCCATCTATTTATCCGATTTACAAAAGTTTACAATAAAACCCTGATTAGGACAAAGTGGAAGCAAAATTTCAAACATAATCTTATGGAGGTTCTAATTTCGAGGCTTCAGCTGGAGCTGGAAATGAGTCGTGATTTAGACAGCAAGCCGCTACTGTGATATAAAATTTATGTACATAGAGCAGAAACGGAAATAGTGAGGTCTCGGTAGTATCACCGCTAAAGCTGAAGCAAATTTTGGAGTCAATAGTGGTACAGACGCATCAATTTGTGCTGGTGGTATAGAAGCTAGTTTGGAGAGATGTAAAAATAAAAAGAATTAAATAGATATAATACACCTTTGGAAGATTTTCAAAAACAGCGTTGATAACGTACGGTGCTTTTGATAGTGGTATCATAAAAAAATAATAGTTTCTAATAAATTTTTTACCGCTGTATAAATAAAGTTTCAAATATATAAAATCTATTAAAACTTATATGAGAAGTTTTATTTATGATAAGAAAGCCTTATTGCAACTTCAATTTAATTCTAAACAATATGCAAATTCTTTTTCTTTGCGAAAGGCTAATTTACTCGTTTCTTTATGAAAGCTAATCATTGTTCAGCTGATTTCCTTCCTTCAGGTTTTTTCATTTAGATTTCTATTGTTATTTTTAAATCTCATTTGCAAATTTTATCCTTGTAATATTACAATTTTATTATAATTATAGCATCGAGAAATCTTTATACTCGGATTTCTTAATAAGTTGGATAAGGACAGAGAAAATCTCCGTTATAAACAAATAATATCTTTACTGTTCAAAAACCACCAAAATATTACTTTACTTGAATCATTGTCTGTTTCAATGAGTAAGTCGGTAAAGATAATCCGAGAATGAAATTTTAATTAATCTGATCATTAATCAAATACTGCGGTTTTTTGCTATAAAAGGCAGTTTCAATGTAAAATTCCGTTCACCTGCCATTTAAGAAAACAACAATGGGTATAATTTGATTTTAAATTTTTTTCCTTCAAAGAATCATTTATCGTTATTAGTAAATAAATATGTCTTTTATCAATTCCAATCAAAAAACAAGAACAAGGCGTACCAGTAAACTATTTCGCCGTGGAGCCACGAAAAGACTGTCCACATATTGAAACAGACGTCTCGTTTTTAGAATGGAGTCAAGTACCAGTAGATGGTAAATGTCAATTAAAGGTGAAATCACAATCATAATTGATTTTATGCAATTTTATTTATTAGTAGTAAAACAAGAATGTCAGATGTGCCATGATAAAGAAGAGAATTGGCGATGCTTAAAGTGTCAAGGGGTTTTTTGTAGCAGGTAAATTGTCAGACACTGATTTATTTTAATTTCTTCTTTTTGATTCGATCTTATTTTCCTTTTATTAAAGATATGTGAACGGTCATATGAATAAACACTACGACGAGACAAATCACAAGATAGCAATTTCATTTAGCGATTTGTCGACATGGTGTTATGCGTGCGATGATTATATCACTAGTCCAGTAGGTTCATTTGTTTTTTAATACTTTTTATACATGAATTATTATTAAAGAATGAAACTGATTAATTAAAAGGAATTACGACAAATTGAAACATCTTTCGCGGAGATAAAGTTTCCTGAAAATGCGGTGGTTATTATAGGTGGTGGTAGAGGTGGTGGGGATTCATCATCTACATTCACTAACACACCCACTAGTATTATTATTAATAGAGGAAATGGTAATGCTAGTAACGTGCAAAGTGATGCGAGTAATAGTAATAATGTTGGGGATAGTTCTAAGGCTACTAGTGAATCCAATGGGAAAAAATCGGAATAATTATGTCCCTCTTATTGACGTCACTCTTATGTAAACTTTTTGCTTTCAAATTGTTCAATAAAGAAAAACTTAATTTCAATTTTAATTTTTGTAGCAAGACAAAAAATATTTATAATTGTAAAGGAGTGTCAAAAGTATATTTCATTTATTATTGAAAAATTTTAACCATTAACTAAACTATCTTTAAAATACTATTATTGATTGGAAAGTAGATAATTAATGAAGGAAAAAATCAGCGTTTGTACATATTATGTAAAAAGATCGTGTAAAAAAGCATTTACCATAATTACTCAAAAGACACCTCTATTGTTCCTCATTGACAGCGTGTTGGAGAACCTCAAATTCTTCAGGTTTTACAACCTAATAACAAAATGAAAAATTGTATTCAATATATATACACACCGAATACATTCATATATTAAAATATGATTATAGTCATTTATTTACCTGTATCTTATGATATCCTCTTCCCTGTTCATTCTCGGCATTCGGAAGTATATCTTGATCGCTTTGATCGGTTATCACGCCCCAATTATGGCCACCTGCTCCGCCCTATAATTCATAATTGTTAAATTGTAAATATTCACACACACAAGAAATAAGCATAAAACAAAACAATGGCACAAAGACATCACGAGGATCAAAGAAATTACTAGATCTTCCTATAACTTTCTGGATTTGATAAATGATGCTCAGTTTTGTACGTGTGAATAAAGATTTTCGTAATTTACCTTTTTCGGGTTGCCTCTTGGGTCAGTCAATCCGGACCTGAAATTTTCGTTGTGTAAGGTTTGGAATAAACGAACGATTATTATTACAATCATTTAGAATGTATTGTGTGGGAATAGTTAAAGAGAATTGCAATATTTAGAATGTATGTGAGAGAAAAATTGCGAGAACAAGAACGCGAAAAGACAATGGTTTTATAACGAAAAGAATTTTTGTAAATGCTAAAAAAAATTACCTTTGAAGGTGACGGTCACGGTTGAAAACAGCAGGAGAAGACGTTTGTTTGCTTCGTGACATTATCAATTTCGAGTGCAAAAGTTGAAATATTTAAATGATTTTTATTTTTTGTGGATACAAGTTAAAATATTTTAATAAATTTATTATTATTATTAATAGTTTGTGGATAGAGCGTGTAAAATTAATTTGGGAAAAATATCAAAGTATCAAAGCTTCAAAACAAACGTACGCCAACTGTATTTATATATCTTTGCGATTTAAATATCAATATATGCTATATCATTCTAGTAATTTCTTCTCACGATCCTAACAATAAATAATTTATGAATGACACATCTTTTTTAATAATGATAAATTTATGCAAATGTGTGTCATACGATGATTTTTTTATATTGTAATTATCGAATGTTTGGTAATTTTTTTTTCAAGTCAGCTGATTTATTAGCTGGATGGTTGATCAACATCAAGTGATTTTTACTTCTGGGTGATCGAAAATTTATTTCCACTTTGCGCGAATTTTGAATTCATGAACATTTATCGTTATTTTACATTACATTCTTTATCTTGAAAGTTATATATTTATATCTCAAAGCATTACCATATAGAATCGAAAAAATGTCTGAAAGAGTGAGTAACCTAAATTTTCTTATTTTCAACCTCAGATACAATAACACTAACATAATTTAAAGGTTCGCGCACGAGGGCATGGTTCACGTGGAAGTGGTGGTAGAGGTGGGGGCGGAAGTTCAGGCGGTGGTCGTGGAGGAGGCCCTGGTGGCGGCTTCGGTTCTGACCAAAAACCTAAAAAAGAATCGATATTGGATTTACAAAAGTATCTAGATAAAAAGATTCGTGTAAAGTTTAATGGTGGACGAGAAGGTCAGCTATCCTATTGTGTTGATGTAATTAATCTAGAATAATGATGAATTAACGCGTAATGGACTATCTAGTGACCGGCTCATTGAAAGGCTTCGATCAGTTACTTAATCTCGTATTAGACGATACCGAAGAACAATTACGAGGTACGTTTAATCTTTTTACATACATAAATAAGATTTTTTAATGCCATTATTTTCCAGCAAAAAATCAACATCCTTCTTTAATGAACCCAAAAGTTTTTCTCGCTTAACTTTTCCCATCTGAATACCGAAAAACAGATCCAGAAGAGAATAAACTCACGAATGAAACACGTAATCTCGGTCTTATTGTATGTCGTGGTCCCGCGGTGATATTAATATCACCAGTGGACGGGACTGAGGAAATTCCGAATCCTTTTGTGCAACAATAGTAAATAATAACAATATTGTGAAAAGGAAAGAGTGAAAAGTTTATTTCAACTTAGAAGGGCATCGAATTCACTAGCATCATATTCACCATCTCTATTCAATCGACTAGACTTTGTTTTATTTGTAAGAGTAAAATAATAATACACACCGAAAACAACTGTAACAATAACAACAATAATGCTAATAATCTTTCACAAAAAACACTTATTTTTTGTCTTTGACATTTTTATAATCGAAAATATTATATTGGAAACATTCTAAGCGAAATAAAAGGCACGAATTATTAAAATACATTTTATATAAAATTACACATCACATCTATCAATCCAACGCCATCGCTTCGAAGCCAGGAAACGTTTTTTATGCCACAAGGTTTATTTATGCAATTAAGAGTCCATTCAAGTTATATGATTAAAAAGAAAAACATTGTAAAAAAAGCCTAATCTCGTTTTCCACCACCCTTCCTTCGCGTCTTTCCCTTATTGTCTTGCAAACTCGTAGCATTCTCCGGGGCAACATCCTCGACCAAGTTTTTTCTGTACAACTGATACTCAGCATCAGTTCGTTTTCCATACTTTACCAAAAGCCGATACTCGACATCCTCCAATTCCCATTCGTGTGGTGTTAATTCGAGATTTTCACGTTCTGCCAGAAACAATTTATGAAAATCTTGTGGTTGCCCGGTTGCACCACCCATTGCAGCCATCGATTGCATATCACGCATGCCATCAGCGGCATTGTCTTCGCCTAGCAGTAGAGTGAAAATACTTCGTAAACCAAAGAGGTTTAGGAAATACCATGAAAGTGAAGAAACCCAAGTCACATCCATATCTGCTGTTTCGACACCTCGTTGTAACATTGATTTAAAGCGTAGAGTTAATGGAAAAGGCAATTTGACTATGATAATACAGATACAGTAAAATAATCGAGCGATTAGAACAAGAATAATCTGTTATGAAATTGAATGATCTTATTGAGAGATACACATACTCAACACAAATCCCGAAAAAAAGAAATTCACCCAAGCCATAATAATAGTCTGTGGTATAATCATCGCCATATTCTTCTTCATTCCCTCCATCATCATTTCCATCCCCTGTGGATCGGTCATCGGATTAACAGGTTGATTTGCCGCGGCAGGATTCTTGAGAAAAGTTCCACGTTCAAACGCATTTGACAGGTAAGTCTTTCGAGCGTGAAACGACGCGGGCGGAATATTGTTCCCGTAGAGTCGAAGAACGGACCCTCGTTGTAGTGCTTTTGTCTCACGTATTGCTTTTTGCCCAGGTTTCTTAAAGGTGTTGGCACCAAGTAGTATCGTTACTTGGTCTCGAAGCACACCCACTAGAACCATGACAATCATGATTGGTATTAATACCCAATCCCTGATTGCTATTTGAAATAATAATTCATTAATGTCTGTTTTTTTAGATTAAAGTTGAAGCTACTAGAATATTTTTTATCTTTTCTATAAATAAGAGGTAAATCAAAATTCGAATTTCGGCTAACCTGGGTCAAGATATAAAGCTTGGCTAAATAAGAGTTCTGTTTGATGAGTTAAAGTCTAAATAGAGTATATTATAAACCTTATGAAAATTTACCTCTCTACAAGCGTGTTTGCAATAGGCTGCACCATTAGTTACGTCTGTTTAATCTGTCTCTTGAAGTATATGTTTAAAGTCAAAAAATTTACGTAAATCACTTTCCAATTCGGGAGGTCCACTAAAGCGAGGTAGTATCATGTGACATGTGATTCGATCCGGATCGTATCATGTGATTTTAAATTACGTTAAAATTCATGATTGGTCAAATCAAATCATGTGAATTATTTTAAGAGTCTGGAAAGAAAGAAAGTTAGATTATTTAATTAAGAGCTTGATCATCATTATTTAAAGAATATTTAATCATTAGATGTATTAGAAATCTATATTAATGAAAAGAAAAAAACAGATTACTTAACCATCTAATTAGTCATTTTATTGAATTATTTCTAATTAAATATAAAATTATTTATATTATTATTTTAAAAACTGAATCTAACAATTTATCTAAACAGGTGATAAATATTTTAGTAGCATCTGTATCATCTTTATTCTCTATTACCAAATATTTGTCTTACATTCTTTTCATAAGTTCATCTATTTATAATTTACATGTCTCTACTTCTCTTTTCTCTTGAATCTGAACAAGCTTAGATATTTTGATCATCTCCTGATACTCATATTATTACCATTTTAAGATTATGCATATGTAATTATTTTAAAATGATAATAGTGATTGTGTTTATGACAGTTGTTAACTTTTATAATTTCAAAAGATTATAAGATTGATTATCTTCTCAATAAAATAATATACGTGAATTTACTTCTGACCAAAATACTCTCTTAATAGAGCAAGAAGAAAATAAGATAAGATATAAGATAAAATATATGTATTTATTAAAGAAAAATATTAATTAACTACTCTTAACTCAGTAGTAATTACTTCTATCAAACTTAATTATTCTTCTTGATCACTTCTTGACTCTCT